ACCTGTGGCCCAGGGGCAGCTTTCAGATCTGCCCAAAGCGTTCTCTGGTGCTTCCGTTCCTATCTGGGCCCTTCTAGCCTTTGACAGGTCATTCATGAGTGTGGAGAGGACGGTTACAGGAAAAGCCACTGCTGTGGTGGGCTGTGGTAAGAAGAAAAGTGTCGATCTTTGAACAGAAAGTGAGATTGACAAGGAGGGAAGGACCCACACCTGTCCGAAACAGAGCCAGTATGAGACAGACACATATCCAGATGCAATATTTACAAGGGATAGATTTGTGGAATTGGCTGGCAGGGCTATGTCAGGTCAGGCCTGCAAGCTTGGAATCTGCAGGTCATACCAGCAGGCTTGTGACTCGGACAGTATGAATGCTGCTGTCTTGAGAGAAAGTTTTCTCTGGAAGCCTCAGTTTTTTGTTTTTTTTTTTACTTTGAACACCTTCCACTGATTGACTGGGTCTGGTGTGCACAGACCTAGGGGTTACCTTCACAACCACACCCAGACTGCTGTGGGGCCCCACACCTAGGCAAGCCGACACCAAAACTATCAATGACCACATGAGGTCTCGAGACAGACAGAGGAGGCTGCAGGCTGAATGGACTAATCGTGGAACCAGGACATGCTGTGGCTGATGTCCAGTCACAGAAGGTGCACAACCAGGCGACTGGATTGGCCTGGAAGGCTGGGTGAACACGCCACTTGTGGTTTCAGTCCCTCTCGCTCCATTTGGTTTCCCTGTATTCTATACAGACTAAGGCTGTCTCTGGAGACGTGTGCCCCTCTGTGGTTCCCCGTCTCCTGTGTCTCATCTCCCTGCTTGGCATCTCTTTGCTTTGACTTCCATTCAAACTGTGCCCACTGTTCCCAACTCTACACTGCCATAACTCCCCCGTGCAGGCTAGCTCCTGTGGATCCCCTGCTGGCCTGTCTTACCCTGCCCTGGGGCTTGGAGATGCTTTAGAGTCGGGGTGTCCAGGGATCTGACATACACCACGTGGAAATGCATTGGGGGTTAACAGGTTCCTAACTCAAGGCGGTGCCCACAACACCGAGTGCCACCTGTCCCCACATGGAGCTCTAGCCCAGCTTTCTCCTCCTCTGAGATGGGGGGACAAGGGACCCAAACTACGGTCTTAGAAGAAGTCAGCTAAGGCCCCAGCTAAGCCTCTTAAAACTATTGCCGCAATATTGGGAACAGAACAGACATAAAATGGGGACAAAGCCTCAGAGTTTGCTCTTTGTGTCTGAGAGCCCCGAGACCCTTACCGCAGGTTCACAGCTCTCCAAGCGGAAAGGGTCCTGAAAGGACACTCATACCTTCCCACTCGGGCAAGTTTGTTTCTTGTCACGGAATATCTAACCACAGAATTTTTAAAGTTTTATTTTATGTAGATTGTTGGTTTTGCCTGTATCTTAGAGTCACAGACAGTTGTGACCTGCCATGTGAGTGTTGGGAAATGAACCTGGGTCCTTTGGAAGAACAGTAGGTGCTCTTAACCACTGAGCCATCTCTCCAGCCCCTAACCACAGAATTTTTAAAACAAATACTGGGGCTGGAGAGGGGATTCAACAGTTAAAGTCATGACTGCTCTTCCAGAGATCCCGGGTTCAACGCCCAGGACTCTTACTGCAGCTCATAACCACCTGTAACTCCAGGATCTGATGCCTTCTGGCCTCCATGGCACAAAAAAAAATGGTTTGCAGACACACATGCGAGCAAAACAGCCATACACATCAAATAAAATTTAAATTTAGAAGAAAGAGGAAGAGTTGGCCTCTCCCAGGGATGAACCTCTTAACCCTTGAAACCATGTGCACACAAACAACAAAAGCAGGCTTAGCAGATTATACATTTGAGCGCGCACACACACACACACACACACACATTACATATATGTAACAATAGTGATTGGGAAAAAAGGGACCAGCTTGAGCGTTGGGGGAGTCATGGAAGGAGTAGGGGGCACTTGTGAGGAGGTGAAGGGAGGAAAGAAAAGGGGGAGTGATGTGATTATATTTTAACTAAAGCACATAAAAACTAATCTAAAAACAAAGACTCCAGGGGACTGCCTGAGAGCTGACAGAGACATCACCCCAGATCTGGGTTCTCCACTGATTTCCCACTCAGTCTGCAAGTCTTCCCCGCTTGTCCTTGAACAAGCCTCTCACAGACACACTTCCCTGCATGAAGACGAGGGTGCTGCCCCAGGAGGTCCTGTCAGTCCGCTACCTGGTCCCAGTGGCTGTGTCTAACTTCCGTCAGCGTGACCTGGAATACGTACCGTAACCTCCTTACCACGGGTGAGGAAGTTCCTGCCATCCTGGGTCTTTGCTCACCTGTCCACGGCTGTGGGTGAGGGGTGAGGCAGCCCTGTGGAAGACATGTCATGTGACACTAAAGGTGTCCTAAACTTGCAGATGGACGTTCACTGAGGTAAGAGGCCACAAGACGAGGGCTGGGGGGGGCAGGCACTGGCTTGACGCCTAGCTTTGCCTCTGTCAGGGTGCTCTGGGTAGCACTCCAGGGTGAAATTTTAAGCAGGCAGGTTCAGCTTCTCTGATGTATTTATTGATTGTAACAAAGTATTTCCCCATGCCAAGGTCCCTAATCTGATTTGTATGTCTTACTACAGCAGATTATCACTTGGCCCCACAACCTTTATTATGTACTGTTTGAAATAATAATAATACAAGAGCCTTGGGTGTGCCTGGGGCATCTATCTTATGACCAAAGTCACAGGAGAGCTACAATGCCTCTTCAGCAAAATAATCACTGTTTTCCACAAGGACTCTTCAAGGTCAAAGTATTTCTAAAAACAAACAAACAAAAACAGCTGTTCATTCTATTATCTACCCCAAAGCAGTGAGTCTGCTAAATTCCTACAACAGCCTCATTTACCATCTCCTCAAGACCAAAAAGGGGACAACACACCATAAAAAACGAGACACAATAATTCTCAAATACAGGTCATAGGATCAGATGATCTGAGCATGGGCTGGGGGGAGGGGATACTAAAAGTCATTTGCTCAAAGCCAGCCTGCGTATCTGACCCCATCTAGCAATTACCTGCCTCTCCGCCACACCAGCCCTGGGCCAGGAGCATCCTCAGGCCAATGGCTGGACTTTCCTCACCTTCAAAGCACACCCAAGACCTCAGCAGAGTGTGGATCCACAGCGCAGGTCCCTACCTCACGGTTGAATGTTGAAAGTACACATGAAGGACCACTTAAGTTTTTTGCTTTGCTTTGGTTTGATTTTGGTTTTGGTTTTCCGAGATAGATACATTCTCTGTGTAGCCCTGGCTGTCCTGGAACTCACCCCGTAGAGCAGGCTGGCCTCGAACTCACAGAGATCCGCCTGCCTCTGCCTCCCGAGTGCTGGGATCCGAGGTGTGGGCCACCACCAGTCACTTCATTTTTAACAGATGGAGAGACTGGATTCCACAGTGGCATGGGGGAGGGGTAGTAGTATTTCTGTGAGCTGACAAAGGTTCTCTTTCCACAGACAGGGGTAGACAACATGACTTCTTTTATTTACCCACAAAAGCCACAGGTAAAAAGTGTTTATGGCTTGGCAGCTTGCCAAGGCCACAGGCACTTCAGCAAGTCACAATATGATCCCATCAACCCATTCCTTTTCAAACAGTGTTAATGGGCATGTTTTCTACCATAGTTTGAAAACACCTCCATGATGAGAACATTCTAAACTGACCCCCAAACTTAGACACAGAACACAGATCCATCTAAGTAGCCACCTGAATGATAATTACTTCTAAAGACTGATGACCATAACATTCAAATATTTTGAAGAGTGTTCACTTCACGTAGCACCTTCCTTCATGGATGCTATGTCACTTAGGACTTGAGCAAATGGTCCTGAGACAAGATGATGTTCTCTCAAAGTAAGTTAGTGACTGTACACATGAACAAGCGAGTTGTGGTTTGTGCGCTGCGCTCCAGGAAAGGTGATTTAAGAGTAAGATGGGGGACCGTCACTGGTGGCTTTTATTTTCTTCCCTGGACATTTCTACATTTTCCTTAACTGGGTTAAAAAGAGAGGCGGTGCCCAGGGAGGAGGAGGCACGACTGAGGAACAGAGCATGTCCTGGTGTGCGTGTGTGTGTGTGTGTGTGTGTGCACGTGCACACGTGTATGTGTGCGTGCGCCTGTGTGCGCGTGTCTGTGTGCATGTGTGTGTGTGCGCACGTGTGCCTGTGTGTGTATGTGTGTGTGTGTGTGTGTGTGTGTGTGTGTGTGTGTGTGTGTGTGTGTGTTAGAAACTGTTCTGCCGCTCTAACCCTCCATCCTCTCCCTGATGTCTGCCAAGCCTGGCTCACCACATTGTGACAAGTCTTAAGAGACGAGGATACTAATGCCAAACACAGGAGGACCTGTGGCCTGTAACCACCCTGCACATCCCAGGCCTCCACATCTGTAATCTCCTCAGGGTCCCCTGTGCCCGTCTTTATAATGAGCACATGCTACCTAGCTACCTCCATGCTCATTGATTCCTAGCATGGATTATGTCAGGGTCCATTGTGTTAGTTTAGTTTCTCTCAGGATACAGTTCTGTTTGTTTGTTTGTTTGCTATTACATGCTGATAACTGAAGGCACCAGCATCTTAAATCCTACTTGGTGTGTTACCCTGTCAGCTCACCAAATCCTAGCAATGGCCATCCCCATCAGCAAAACCTGAGAGGCCCCTGAACTACACCCTAACTGGCCCCACTCCCTAAAACAGACAGACCTTAACTCTCTGCCGCACTGGGGATGTGTAATGATGTGACACGGTCCTTCTTATTTGCATCTCCCACATGGCTAATGAAGGGGAACATCTCTGTATTTTTGGCCATTTTGGCCATTTGGGTTTCCTCTTTGGGGAATGATGTATTGATGCCTTTTGTCTGGTTTTAAATTTTAAATCAGTTTTATTTAAGGCTTTCCAACATCAACAACTGTTTAAAAAAATCCAGAATTGCAGCAAACAACATTCTAATGGGGAAAACATTTAATGATCATGAATCCCTATGTCACCCTTGCACAAGGGCCATGCTAAATGTTTCTGTATAATTCCAATTTAGATAAATGTTGCCTTAGAAAGCACTGATCATTTATTGGTTGAATGAATGATTTCTTTAAGATGGGGTCTCACCATGTAGGTTTTGGCTGTCCTGGAACTCTCTCTCCATAGACCAGGCTGGCCTCGAACTCACAGAGATCCACCTGTCTCTGCCTCCTGAGTGCTGGGATTAAAGGCGTGCCTGCACCACCACTGCCTGGATCACTACTCATTTTTTAACTTGGACTTTTAATGTGTGTGTGTGAGAGAGAGAGAGAGAGAGAGAGAGAGAGAGAGAGAGAGAGAGAGAGAGAGAGAGAGAGAGTGTCAGTCCATTCAATTCCCTCCTCCTGAAATTCCTGCCTCCCTATTTCTGCATCTTATCCATATGCCAGTTTCTCCATGGAAGCAACTCTAGACTGGGGTAAATGGCATGCACCTTCTATGGCGTTACCGTGTCCTGCCTTGTAGTATTTCAACAGCTTTCTCATTTCACACCCCACTATGGAGTTCGCCAAGCACCTGCTCCTTCCTGTGTTGACCTTTTTATCTAGGCAATGGCCCTGTGAGGCACCATCTTTAAATAGATAAGGATGTGGTATATAAACCTTGGGGGCTAGCTCACCCACAAACCCTCTGCTCAAAGGCCTGAGAGCAAGAACTCCCCAATTCCATGCCAACATCATCTTTGACATAAATGTGCTGCCCCAGTACTGACTCCCCCACCAGACTGCAGGCCCTATGTCTCTTACCCATCTGCCCTAAGCCCGAGTTGTACCCTACAAAAGGGGAACAGCATGTGAGTACAGATTTCTTGACAAATCACACTATTCACCTTCTACAGGACATGCAGAGCCCCCTAACCTTCCCAACAGCTCAACTACTGAAGTAGCTCACTCAGGGGCTCACATGTAGGGTTGGGTGGTGCCAACCTGTGAGCTCAGAGACAGGCTTCTGCTGTCTCTGTTCCTGGAGTCCTAAAGGTGCTGCTGGCCAGCCTAGAGAGCATCCTGGACAGACAGGCGTTATCCTGCTGAAGGTGGCTAAATGTCTGGTCCTGGGGGGTGCCTTTGAATTGGCCTTTCTAGACTGGAAGATCCTGTCTGATGGGGCTGCTACCAACTTCCTTTCCAGTCCCAGCAAAAGGGAGACAGATGCTCACGATAAGTAGGTTCTGCTGTTGGTCAAAGACCCAGAATGAGGGCAGTAAGACCGGAGGAGCAGGAAGCCCCTGGGGTGAGGGGATGAGGACGCCTGTATCTCAAGCTGGGAGGCAGGTAGAAGGCAGACAGGAGCTGCAGGCTGCACTGCCAGCATCCCCTGGAGCTGAGGGCCAAACGGACAGTGAGAGGGGAAGGCTCCCACGGATGCACTCACTCTGCAGGACTGCCTGCAGGCAACATGGTAGCAGGTGCAATGGGCCCTCCAGATGGAAGGCAGGAATGTGGGTAAGGGGTGTTAGCCAGCACTTTCTCCAGTCCTGGCGCCAAGAGTGAGTCTGGGTGGGGACACTCTGTCTTTTCTCCCAGAGGAAGATTTTATCTGATTGAAACCATATCTACAAGATCTGTCCTAAATTTACTTTTTTTTTTTTTTGCCTAAGTGCTGTGTTTGTGCACGTGGTGTGTGTGACTGTCTCTTTTGCATTATATCTCTGCAGTGCGTGGGTGGCATGCTCGCGTGGGTCTTGTGGTTAATGCGTTGGAGCTCTATGCTTGCTGACTTGTGTGCCTTACACGTGGTTCCGCGGGAGCCTATGCTGAGGGCATAGTATCATTCTGAGCGTTGTGACTTGTATATGTGTCCCGTGCCTGGTTCTCTTAGGCTTGCCCTGGTCTCCCAAAGGTGGAGTGGGATGTCAGTGCTGTAAGATCAAGGTGCTGGGCGATCTACCCGGGTCCGGGTGTAACTGTGTGCGTGTGCTGTGCGCACGCCTTCCGAGCTGTGGGTTTGTGCAGCTGTGTTTCCGCGTGTGCCGGCTCAGCTCTCTGAGCGGGGGCGGCCCCGTGAGGCGCTGCGGGGCCCCGCCGGCCACAGGCTCCAATGGCGAAGCCGGTGCGGCCCCTGCTAATTACATAAGCGGGGACGTCAATAATTCGCGGGAAAACGCGAAAAAGATGGCGCCCCGCGCCCGGGGGGCCCCTTCCTGAGCGCACCGGCCCCTCCCTCCCCGCGTCCCCTCCTCCCCGCGGCGCCCCCGCCCCGCCCCGCCCCCGCCGAGACCCCTACCCCGGCCCCACGGGCGGACACTCGGCCGGGCAGTCGCGGGCCGAGCGCACCTCCGCTGCTGATGAGCCTGGTGGCCAGACTCCAAGTGGGACCGGCGGACGCGCTGCCTCGCGGTAAGTCCCGCGCTGCGAGCGCCCCGGGAAACTCCGCGTTTCACGCTCCAATCCCTGCACACGACCCCCCATCTAGAGCACTAAGTTGAGTCCTGCAGTTCCCGGGCGGGGGTGGGGGGTGGAGTCCTGCGGAGCTGCGCGCTTGTGGGATGGGGACCGAGATGGAGCCGGAGCGGTACCCTCAGGGCAGCGGGAATCCCAGCCACATCCCCAACCCAGGGCAGGGTGCGGGTGACAGGTCTCCGTTTGTGGCCGCGAGTCTTTTCTTTTCCATATGAGGCTATGGAGGGAGGATAGGAGGGCATTTGGGATTTTGCTCACGTCCAAAGTCAGGCAACGACGGGTTGGGAGCTGGGAAAGTTTGCATTTGGAGCAACTGAGGAAAGCGGTGCCTGAAGCCTTAGGGGACACTGCTGCAAGCGGTCCTCCCCCTCAACACCCTTTTAAAAAGCCAACGGCCGCCCTGGAGAGGCCTCGGCGCATGAATCATCCGCGCTTCCTGCCCCAGCCCAGCCCCGCGCGCCCAGTGCCGCGGATTTGAACTGGACGCCGACGGGAACCCGCAAACAAGCATTTCTGTGGCGATGGGTTTGAATCAGCCAATCACAGCCCGCGGGGGCCCGCTCCCGGAGGATGGAGGCGGGGTGGGGGGGCCGCTACCCGGGGGCCCAGCCAGGCCTCGGGGGCGCAGCGACCCGGCCTGCCCCCAGAAGCTCAGCGGGGGAGGAAATGTCAGTTTGTGAACCTGCCGAGGCCGGTCCGCTCCAGGCCGGAGCAAGCAGGGACCTCCCAACGCCCCAGGAGCCAAGCGCTGGTGAAGAGGGCAAGAGTTCTGACTCCAGCCTGTACCTGGTGCCTGCGCCTCTGCCCTGGAGTAGGAGGTATACACCATCATCTGGACAGCCAAGACCCTGACTGTGCCCCATTGCCCCCAGGGCCCCTCACGTGCCCACGTGTGTTTAGTTTCACATACGGACTGGCGCATTGCCACAGATAGTGTCCTTTCGGTCTCTGAAGAGGCACTCACATGAAAACACACCCAGAGCTGTCTTCCTGTCAGCAGACCGAGACGCCAGGTGCCCAGCACCTAGGCAAGGGGAGGGATCCAGAACAGGACCGCCCCCGCCGTCCCCACGCACTGCACCATAGGGAAGCTGTGTTTGACTCTAGGAGAGCGTATGTGCAGGGGTGTGGTGCCAGGTGAACCCACAGAGGGGAGAGGCGATTAACATCAGTGAAGGTCTGGGGAGATTCAGGTGGGGAAGCAGGGAAACTGGAGAGACCTGGGAACTCCTCACTCCAGGTGCCAGGCTGTAGCAAGCAAGGGGCTCAGGGGAAGGTGGATGAATTCATTGATGGGGAAAGATGAGGACAGGACTCGAAGCAGGCAGGGCTGCTGGGGTAGAGGGCAGGCGCTGGGCAGGGCTGAACCAGAAACCGCCGTGGCAGCCCACCGGCCCGAGAAGGCTGCTGATGGCCACGATGATAGCGTTATCAGGAAAAGGGGAGCAAATGGGGAGAGCCAGGTGTGTCAGGGGGCTGGTGTGGCAACAGCTTAACGCCCTTGAGCCAGCGTGGACAAAAGCATGGGCAGGTTTAAATGCCCTGAGTTGGTTTCCATGAAATCATCGAATAACTGAGAAAGGGGGCTCACGAAAGGTTCGTGGCTATGTCACACCCGTTCACCCCGAGAGTTTTCTCCAAACACATTCAGGGGAGACACAAAGTCTTGAGGGTGCGCTTCCTCAGAGCCGAGCCCACAGAGTGCTTGCATACAGGGTAATGCCTCAGCCTCCGGGGACAGGTATTGGGGTTCAGATTCATGGGTGGGGCCTTCGTCCCAGGTATGGTGGGGAGACGACTCTCTGAGAAGCAGCATGGTATGACACAGAGCCGCCTTGAATCGTTGTGAGCTGTGGTTCACCTCTGGGTCGCCAGCCACTTTCCTTGCCTCTCCTCAGTTTCCCTGTCCTTACAATGGGATAATAATGCCTCCCTCCCAGAGTCGTTCTGTCAATCAGTGTGTTTGAAAGCCTTACCGGGTTTCAGGGGCAGGGAGCAAGATAAGATCTTGTGCTTTCTCCTCCAGTGTCACCAGAAGCTGATGGATACACAAGCTCTAGACCCAGGGACTGGGGGAGCCTATGGTGCCACCAGCCACCTCCCCAACAAGGGGACCATGTCTAAGGCCAAAAAGAACTTCAGAGACTTGATGTCCAAGTTGACAGAAGGACAGTATGTGCTGTGCCGGTGGACAGACGGGCTGTACTACCTCGGCAAGATCAAGAGGGTGAGTCCTTCCCTGGCCCCTGGGCCCAGGCTCAGGCTCTCTCTGCTCGGCCCTTCTTGTCCCTCGTGCCTAGAAGCTGAACATGGAAGGATCTAGAGCTTCTCAGGGGCTGGTGTGGCCCAGCAGGCTCTTTAGAGAACTTAAGCAAACCAGCAGCCTGGGCGGGACATGGGTGACATGCTAGCCTGTTCTTCTGCCCTTAAAAACATTCCCTTGCAGTTGTCACCCTGTCCCTGATGGCCCTAGGTGCGGGAGATGGAGGAGGGTGAGACCCTGCTTTCCCTGCTGCCCCGTTTCACGCTGCCCTGCTCCTCTTCTCCCTCTCCTGTCTCAGGTCAGCAGTCCTAAGCAAAGCTGCCTTGTGACTTTTGAAGATAATTCCAAATACTGGGTCCTGTGGAAGGACATACAGCACGGTGAGTGTCAGTTCTTCGTGCCTCTCTCTGTGTCCTCGTCACCTTTTGTCCTGGCACCTGTGCTAGTCCATGGAGCCCAGGCCTTGGGCAGTCAATCGTCCTGGGCCCACCTGGGGCGATGATCGGGTTTCTGCTTGTGTGACATCAGTCCCCCCCTCCTGAATGCTCAGACTTCAGGAGGGAGGCAGGGCAGATGGAGGAGGGACTCAGGCATGTATTAGAACCAAGAGTGTAGGACTTGGTCTCGGGCCTGCAGTTAGTGTCCTACCTGAATGTTGGCTGCTACTCTGGGTCTCCTACAGCTAGGGAGGAGGAAGAGGCCCGAGGAGAGGGGGTTGAGTCACAGGCGCCAACTGTGTCCCCTATCTGCGTGTGAAGAAGTGGGTGGGGAATGTCTACCCCTGAGACGCAGAGGTGAGGGCACCGCACATCAGGGAAGCATGCATTGGCCATGCCTAGGTGGGACTCGGCCTGCTCTCAGGATGGAAGGGGGCTGGGCTTCGGCACCACCCCTGCCTTCAGGCAGCTGACGCTGTTATAGATACAGCTAGTTAGGATCATTCAGGCTACACGGGACAGATTTGCACCATCCCTAGTCACAATACCCGTTTACTTTTTTCATGAAACTCCAAACACCAACTGTGACACGGGAGAAGAAACCTATTAAATATCACTTACCCTCAAGAGAGCCGATGTGGTCCACTGCGGCAGTTCCTGAGCCGAGTCCCACATCTATCTACAGAGCCTTAGCAGTGATGCCACTTTTCTTAGTCCACATTTCTTCAACTGAAAGAGGCAGGGGACGTCCAGGCTCCACCGAACAGTGGGACATTAGATGACGCAGTGTGCTCAGCCGAGAGCTACTGCAACGTAGGGAGGTTTCCAAGAATCTGCTACTGGAAAGGGTGATTCCAAGAAGCTGGCCAAATGGGTCACGGGACTAAGTCAGTTTGTAGGTCTTTAAAAAAAAAGATTTTTCTCCAAAAACCTGTGGCCAGGGGAGACTGGTTTCTTTCCTCTAGTCCCTTGCACCCTGCACCTGTTTTCTGTGGATCCGAAGCTATGAGCATCCCCTTCTAGGAAAAACCTAAAATTCCAGCAGCAGAAAAAAGATATTTCAAATTGACAGGGTTTGGGAGGCATCCCACTGTGCACCAGGCACAGGGGCGGGGCATCGCAGGGGTGTAGCCAGGAACAGTTTGTCTCATATCCATCCAACAGGCCAGTGACCTCTTGGCGCCCTTTAAGGCTGGGTGTGATACAGCTACTATGTATCACTTTATTAAGCAATGGGTGTAAACAAGGCAACTACCGAGCCATTTCGTCAACAAATAACACCTTGAACATCTATTGCCTGTTGTATCCCATCAGGGGCCTGAGGGCACAGAGATACAGCAATGCCATTTCTGCCTTTACAAAACCTTCATCCAAAAGAGAATGAGGCAGGAGGATCACCAGTTCAAGGCCTGTCTGAGCCACATAGCAAGACTGTGTCTCAAAAGAACGTTTAAAAAAAAAAGCTAAACAGCAAATTCCTTGCAGCCTTCTGGGGTGGCAAAACAGGAGCAACACAGCAAAATGTACTTGAGGGGCTAAGGGTAAGCTCTGCTCTTGCAGAGGACTTGAGTTTGGCTCCCAGCACCCGCATGTGGTGGCTCACAGTCACCCGTCACTCCATCTCAGGGAATCTACTGTCCTCTGACCTCCTGTGGCGCCTGCACTCATGTGCACATACCCACACACAGACAGGCCCACAGCGAGAAATTCATTTAAAAATCATTTTTGCTTCTTCTTGCCTCTTCTTTCCTCCCTTGCTTCTCTTGTCTTGCTTGTTTCTTGCCTCTACCATGTCGGTCTGTCGGTCTGTCTGTCTGTCTGCCTGCCTGCCTGCCTGCCTGCCTGCCTCTCTCATGGACCCACTCCAGTGGGGCCTATTGATCTTTAATCCTCCTTCCCCAATAAGCCTCTTGTACTAAAGTTTTTTTTTAAATCACTCTCAAATGTATTTAAGGAGAGTGCGGGAAGGTGGCTCACTCGGTGAAAATACTTAACTTGCTCGCACAAGCACCCAGGTTTGGTCCCCAGAACTCACATAAGAAAGTGGGCATGGGGTGATAACTCAGAAGTTGAGGGCACTGGCTACAGTGCCAACACCCTTTTCTGTACCTCACGGGCACCAGGCCCACAAGTGGTGCACACACATCCACGCAGGCAAAGCCCTTACACATAATCCAACATACCTTTCAAAGAAAGCGGCATGCTGGTTCACACTTATAATCCCAACTCCGGGGAAGTGAAGACAGGCGGATACCTGGAGCTCACTGGCCAGTCAGGCTAGTCAGGGAACACTAGATCTCGTGAGACACCTCATCCTAAAAAGACAGAATGAGCTAGCAGTGGTGGTCCACGCCTTTAATCCTAGCACACTCGGCTCAGGAGGCAGAGGCAGGTAGATCTCTGAGTTCGATGCCAGCCTGGTCTACAGAGTGAGTTCCAGGACAGCCAGGGCTACACAGAGAAACACTATCTCAAAAAAACAAAAAACCAAGATGGTGGCCCCTGCTCAATGTGACCTGCCCACACGTGAACCTGCATGCATGTATGTACACTGAAAAGTTGTATTTGTGGGCAGCGGATGGAAGTAGCTCCGCCGTTTGCCTGGAATGTGCAAAGTCTTAGGTTTCATGCTTAGCACATTGCACCCCTCAAAAGGAAAAGATACATTTAACATAATCATGCAAATACTTCCGATATAAAAATATATTTGTTCCTTAATGGAAGACCCACATGAAAAAACATAGAGGAGGCGAATGAAAAGCCATTCTATAGCTCTGGGGCTGGGGTTTGCTTCAGTGGCAGGGAGTGTACCCAACAAGCAAGGCCCCGGGTCAGAACCCTAGCTCCAAAATAAACTAAACAAGTTAATCCGGTCACCGTGTCTGGACTTTGGATCTTGATTCGGAACACAAAATTGTAAGGACATTTTAATTTGTTAGGCCTTTGGAAATAAAAGTAACTTTAGGTACAATAAAGGCTATGCGGTGCGTTTGAAAAGGGCTCTGATCTGAGATGGCTAGAGAAAAAGGAATGGATGCCTGGGTCTTGACTTGAAATACCAGGAGGAGATGCGGGGGAGAATATAGTTTAAACAGGATTGCCTGTGAGTTCACAATTGATGACAGCATGAAGTTTATAAAATACATTATCATCCAACAATAAGTGTTTCAAATGTCATTTAACATAAGAAATGTTTAACAAAGCAAGTTGGAATAGCTGGAGGGAACCAGATGTGGTCAAAAGAGCAAAGAATTAGCTGTGAGACAGCTCAGTTTGCATTCCACTCTCCTACTTAATGTCTAAGCAAGGACCTTAACTCCTTGAGCCTCAGTTTCCCCGTCTACGAAGGTTCAGTAAGGCAGCTTTCGGGGCCTGTTGGGAAGCCCAGCACACAGCCGAAGTTCAGACCCTTGCTCTATGGTTTTTAGAATTATTGTTTTAATAACTAAGTTGTCCTTGAAAGTTTCATGCATGTACAGTATACATTCCTGTTACACTCTCCTCAACTCCCCCTGCTCTCCCTCCTACCCCATCGCCTCCTCCCTCCTCTCCATCTGCCCCTTTCCCGGATGTAGACTGGTTGTATGACACATTTGATGTAATCAGGGTCATATCTATGGCTATTGTATTGGGATTACCCACTGGAGCCCAGTGGGGTCATCAACGGGTACAATAACTGAAGATAATGATTCTTTATCCCCCAAAATGTACCCATAGGAAATGGTTCAGCACAAGGGATGGAGCCCCTATGCCATCAGTATGTGGCCCATTCTTGTGCAGACTCAAGGTAGTCATCTGCAGCTATTAAGAGGTCGTGATTGGTCGGGCGTTGGTGGCACACGCCTTTAATCCCAGCACTCGGGAGGCAGAGGCAGGCGGATCTCTGTGAGTTCGAGACCAGCCTGGACTACCAAGCAAGTTCCAGGACAGCCTCCAAAGCCACAGAAAAACCCTGTCTCGAAAAACCAAAAAAAAAAAAAAAAAAAAAGAGGTCGTGATTGTGCCAGGCGGTGGTGGTGCACACCTTTAATACCGCACTTGGGAGGCAGAGGCAGGTGGAACTCTGTGAGTTGGAGGCCTGCCTGGTCTACACAGTGAGTTCCAGGATATCCAGGGCTACGCAGAGAAACCCTGTCTTGGAAAGAAGGGGAAAAAAAAAAAAAAAACAACAGTTCAGGATGGCCATGCCATGTCCAATAGCAATTCACAGCCCTTATTTGTCTTCCAGCTCTTAAATTTCATTCTTCCCCAATGTTCCATGGAAGAGTGTGGCATAGATGCCCTCTTTAGAGCTGAACCCTCGACAGTCAGTTATTCTCAGCATTCTGTGCTGCTGTTTCTCTGCAGCTCACAGGAAACAGACACCTCTCTGGTTAAGGCTGAGTAGTAACTGTCTATGGATATAAATATATTTAGAGGGCAAATCGACACTGTGTCAATTTAGCTAAACACCAGAATTAAGTTTCCTAGTAGGGGACCTATGAGCTTCCTGCCATTTCCATGTTTGGATTCCCTCACAGTCTATGACTTTGACTTTTTTCTTGATGATGTGAGCTGGGCCTGAGTGGATAGTTCTTCTTTTTCAGCCGGTGTTCCTGGAGAGGAGCCCAAGTGTGACATCTGCCTAGGGAAGACATCAGGGCCGATGAACGAGATCCTCATCTGTGGCAAGTGTGGCTTGGGTGAGTGGGTGAACAGAGAAGGCCGTAGCTAGTGGGCCCCTCCCCCACTCCCTTGCTGAGGTCCCATCTGGTTTCTTATGTCCCCTTCTGTCCCTGAGAGCATCTCCGGGCATCTCCAGCCTTGGGGAAAGTTGAGATATGCAGTTTGGGGGAGGCCCTGAAGGCCGTCCTTGGCTCCTCTTGAAGTGGCCAGTACTGTGTTTTAGTCCCTCGGTGGCTCTCCAGCCTGGCTCCTGGGTGGGTACTACCAGACAGCGCCATGGAAGCCGGCAGGCAGTGCGGTAGCTCTGCTAGCCTCGCTGCCCTTGGCCGGGTAGCCTTGGGCCACCACCTCCTTATGAGTAACTCGCCACTCCCTCCTTCGCCACAGGCTACCACCAGCAGTGCCACATCCCCATGGCAGGCAGCGCCAACCGCCCCCTCCTCTCTCCGTGGTTCTGCCGACGCTGCATCTTCGCACTGGCTGTGAGGGTGAGCACTCCCCTTCTGCCAGTCCCTGCCTCCCACGTCAGCAGACCTGAGCCTCCCTAGCCCCAGGCCAGAGCCCCCATCACTGACCCTGTACTCCAGGCAGAGGAGCTAACTCCACTCCTCCGGCTTTGGAGACACGGGATGTTCTGCCACCCACTAGCTCTCTGTCCTACGCCAGATTGCAGAGCCTCTCTAAACCTCAGTTTTCCCATCCATAAACGGGGCACCCAATAATGGGTGATTTGCTAGTAAAACACAACTCTATGTACATGCCCCTTATACGTGGTTAATTATTGTCTGTGTTGTGCTAGTTACTGCTGATGCTGTTAATATCTTGGAGGGGGACAGAGGATGGGTTCAGGATTGGCGAGAAAAAAATCTTGCTTTTCTGACGCTCATAGAGTGTCGAGAAAAAAAATCTCCTTGCTTTTCGGACGCTCATAGAGCGCCTGGATCTCCCCAAACCTGGCGGCGTTTCTCCTGATAACTGTATGCTAACAGGTGTTGTTGGTGACCTGGGCCCTATTCCCCCCCTTCCCCAGAAAGGCGGTGCTCTGAAGAAAGGCGCCATCGCCAGGACGCTGCAGGCTGTGAAGATGGTGCTGTCCTACCAGCCCGAGGAGCTCGAGTGGGACTCGCCGCATCGCACCAACCAGCAGCAATGCTACTGCTACTGCGGCGGGCCTGGAGAGTAAGGCCCAGGGCGGGGCAGGTGCAGGCGACCCGGGCTCCCCGGTGGGCTGACGGGCGGGCGCAGCGAGTGACAGCCAGGGGGGCGCGGCCTGGGTGACAGGCCGAGGGGCGGGGCTTGAGTGGCATGCTCTGAAGAGGCGTGCTCGGAGTGACAGCTGGGGGTGGAACCTGAGTGTCTGGAGGGGCGGGCCTGGAGTGACAGCCGCGGGGCGGGGCCTTGGTGTCAGGCTAGGGGCAGGGTCTGAGTGTCAGGCTGTGAAGGCGGGATCTGGAGGGATGGACCCGGAGTGGCAGCCGCAGGGCGAAGGCTCAGTGTCAGGCCTTGAAGAGGCGGATCCCCGATGTCACATTAGGGAGAGTAGATCCTAGTGTTGGGGCCGTGCCTCTCTGCAGGAAGATGGGGCTTCGGGAGGGAGACCCAGAGTGGTCCGGTGGGCGAACAGCCGCGATAAGGCAAGTTGGTACCGAGAAGAGCCAGGAGAATCGCCTAGGGGCCTTAAAGGCAGACCGCCCCTTCCCCTGCCCTGAGTCTGAGAGCCTGCTCTGATGGTGTGGAGGTTGCCTGGAAGCCCAGCTGGGCTCTGAACTATTCCATTTGAGCTGTTTCATCTCTCAAATAGGTTTAGTTACCTTAATCGCTCATGAGCTTCCCAGTGTGCGCTGGGAGGCCGATGAATGACCCGATGGAAAACAGTATACAGAACCCTGTATGCATTAGTAAGCCGGTGCTTCTCAATGTTTGCTGGGGCAGTTCTCTTCAAAAAAAAAAAAAATACAGCCGGCGTTGGTGGTGCACGCCTTTAATCCCAGCACTCGGGAGGCAGAGGCAGGTGGATCTCTGTGAGTTCGAGACCAGCATGGTCTACCGAGGGAGTTCCAGGACAGCCTCCAAAACAATACAGAGAAACCCTGTCTCGAAAAAAGAAAAAAAATGTGCTTCCAAAAGGCTCTTCTGAAGTGAAACCGACCAAGGAATCTGCGCATTAACCCTGTTCGTCAGGGCTGGGGCCAGTGTTTCTTCTGCTAGACCGTGCTGGGCTGTGCCGTGGCTGGCCTGACTCTTCTTGTCTCCAGGTGGTACCTGCGGATGCTGCAGTGTTACCGGTGCAGGCAGTGGTTCCATGAAGCTTGCACCCAGTGCCTCAATGAGCCTATGATGTTTGGAGACCGGTACGTGCTGATCGGGGGTGGGGGACAGGGGTGGTAGCAGCAACCTCAGGTTATCTGCCAGGTTCATACAAAGGAGGTCTGTGATAGGCTGTGTATGCTTATCTACAGGAGACAGCTCAAGATAAAAGGGACCCTGGCTATGCTGGGCCAGGAGATGATAAAGCAACACACTCGGCTACATGCTTAGTTACCACTGATTTGTGTGGTGCCTTAAGCAAACTCCTGCCTTCACTAAACTCCAGGCTCTACAAATGTCTCAGGGAGGAGAGTCTCTACCTTAGCCTTACCAGAAGGTACCATAGAAGCCATGAGGGAAATAGATGGTTTCTAATTAGTAGGGCTAAGCTAATGGGAGGCATTATACATGCCAAATCAAATATTATGCTTTTTAAATCTTGGCTGGTGACTGGCATGCGTGTGTGTACATGTGTGTGTGCAAGCATGTGTGAGACAGAGAGAGAGAAGGAGAGACAGGGAGAGAGGGAAGAGACAGTGGTGACCACTACAGCCCAACCTCTCTATGAATGGAGCTGAACTCTAGGACAGTGATATTTGGAGAGGGGTCAGGGATAGATGCATTCCTTGGTCCTGTCCCCTCCACTGATTAGAGGCTGACAGCCCAGGAGTGGATGCTGACCATGAGAAGACAGGTGGGAATGAGAGGGATGGTCTAGGCTGAGGGTCAGGTGCTCTCCCATCTCAGCCCCTGCTCACCTACCCCCAGGTTCTACCTGTTCTTGTGCTCCGTGTGTAATCAAGGCCCAGAGTATATCGAGAGGCTGCCCCTGCGATGGTGAGTGGATGGGACCTATCCCTACCAGCTCCTCCCTTGCCCTCTGCCCTCTACCCTGACCCTCACTTGGCCCTTGCCTCTTGCTCAGGGTGGACATAGTTCACCTGGCCCTCTATAACCTGGGAGTACAGAGCAAGAAGAAGTATTTTGACTTTGAGGAGATTCTGGCCTTTGTCAATCACCACTGGGAGCTCCTGCAGCTTGGCAAGGTATGTAGAGGCCCAGGTGCCAGAGACACCTGCACAGGGTCACTCAGAGCAGGACTCTGTCAATCCCTGAGTCTCACCCTGGAGTGCAGTTCTTTAAGTAAAAGCTACTGAGCCTGTGCAGGGAAGGGGCTTTCTGATCTCCATTTTGGGCAGTGGTCAGTTGGGACCTCACTAACTCAGCTTCAGGGAACCAGGGCATTGCAGCAAGTGTGGCTGAATGGGACTCTCTGCTAAGGTATTTGGGGCACCGCAGATTTGCTGGCTAGGTTGAAAAACACAGTGTGTTTGTTTTCCGTTGGTCTTGCTCTGTTCTGGGTTTCCAGGGGCCTCTAACTAACAGACTTGGAAACTGTCAGAGCTGGAAGGCAGCCTAACCACTCCTGTGGGGCTACAGAGACCTCTGCCCTAACCACACCCTCAGAGTTCTCTTTGCTGCTACAAAATGAGATGTCTCCCACTTGACTGCCCAACCCTTCTTTGATGGGACAGAGCTGAAAAAAACAAACAAGGGTCCTTGGGCTGGCTTAAAAAAAAATAACCCAAATAGGTAATTCTTATGTGTGGCATGCAGTTGCGTATAATGTCTCCATTTATAGTGTCTGGAAAGCTGTAAGACACAGAAAGCCTTTTCGGATAGAGTCGGTGTTGTTTTTAATTTATTTAGTGTGAATGAGTGTTTTGCAAATGTGCGTATCTGTGCACCGCATGTGTGCCTGGTGACTACAGATGCTATAAGAAGGTGTTGGGTCCCCTGAAACTGGAGTTACAAATGTTGGTGGTAGAAATCAAAATCAGGCCCTCCGCAAGAATGATTGCTCTTAACCACTGAGCCACAGGGTTGGCTTTTTTGTTTATTTTTTTGTTTTTGTTTTTTGTTTATCGAGACTGGGTTTCTCTGTATTGTTTTGGAGACTGTCCTGGAACTCGCTCTGTAGCCCAGGTTGGCCTCGAACTCACAGAGATCCGCCTGCCTCTGCCTCCCGAGTGCTGGGATTAAAGGCCTGCACCACCAACGCTCGGCTAAAGTTGGTATTTTTAATAACTTTTCTGACTTATAAAGAATTATGCATAGAGGCTAGAGAGATGACTCAGCAGTTAAGAGCACTTGTGCTGCCTGACCAAGGATCCAGCCAGGTTCCATTCCCATCACATGCATGGCAGCTCATACCCTTCTGTAACTCCAGTTCCAGGGGTCCAGCACCCTCTTCTGGCCTCCATGGGCACTGCATACACATGGTACACATACACACATGCAGGTAAACACTCATGAAATACAAATAAATGCTTTTTTTAAAAATACATCTCTAGTAGAAAGAAAATTTTAAATTATCAAAACAGAAGTATACTTTTAAAAGATCCCTACTGTCACTACTCAGAAATAACTAGAAATAAAGTATGGGTATATCCTATTCCTCCACTTTTTTATGGTTTATACAAAGCAAAATATGCTATTTTAGATCATCTCTTTTTGGTTAGTGTTAAGCTGTCCCAGATTATTGGTGTTTTTATAACCTTTTAAATGACTGCACTGATATTCTCCCAGGCTGGACACATTTCTGTGTGCCAAATCTCATTCATGACCCATACTTTACCTGAATCATAGATCTCATAGGGTGGCATTACTGGTCAAAAGTGTGGACGGTTTGTTTGTTTGTTGGCTTGTCTTTGTGTCTTTTTGTTTGTTTCTTTGGGGGGTTGTTTACTTGTTTGGGTTTTTGTTGTTGGCTTTTTGTTTTGGTTTGGTTTTTGGTTTTTCAAGACAGGGTTTCTCTATGTAGCTTTGGCTGTCCTCAAACTCACAGAGATTCCCCTGTCTCTGCTTCCCGAGTGTGGGATTAAAGGCATGCATTACCACACCTGGCGAGTGTGGATGTTTTTAAAGCAGCAATGAGGAATGAACCCAGGGCCTTGTGCGTGACCAGACAAGCTGTCTCCCACTGGGCTACAGCCACAGCCCTGAATCATTGGGGCCAGGAGGTTTCCTCTGCATTACAGGTGGGAAGATGAGCTCAGAGAGGGAAAGAGATTGTAAGTCAGCGGCTCTCACCTGGAGCACACTGCAGCACGCGATGGCAGCAGTGGGCGGGTGTGAGGGGGGTCAGGATAGTGCATCCTCAGATGCCCCATGTGTGGGGCTGACCATCCTGCTGGCCTGCTTCCCATAGCTCACCAGCACCCCTGTGACAGATCGAGGACCGCATCTCCTCAATGCTCTCAACAGTTACAAAAGTCGGTGAGTGCAGGGAGGGAGGGAGAGGTCCTGACAGGTGAGGTCTCAATCTAAAGGTCTCCCACCATGTCTCCCCTGCTCAGCTGTGCTCCCTGCCTGGCTCCTCCTCCTGTATCTCCCCCGCTCAGCTGTGCTCCCTGCCTGGCTCCTCCTGCTGTCTCCCCCGCTCAGCTGTGCTCCATACCTGGCTCCTCCTCCTTCCCACTCTCAATCCTGGGAGTGAAATCATCCAAGAGGCTTTCTTTGCAAAGCCTCCTATGTGCTGCACCACACCTGGTGTATCCAGAACTTTTTTTTCCTGTCCTCTCTGCTTTTTGTTTTACACACACACACACACACACACACACACACACACCCGGTCAGCAGGAGTACGTGCAGGAAGCAGGGAGGCGCTGGGTGGGCCACGTTCTCAGCTGGGGACTGAATTCATTCTGAGGGCAGGGAGGCCGATGGCCTTGGTGGTTACCGGCTCGGCTCTCCCACTCTCAGAGGCTCAGCTGATGGCCCCGCCTCTTTCCCGCCCACCCCAGGTTCCTGTGTGGCAAGGAGATTAAGAAGAAGAAGTGTATCTTCCGCCTGCGCATCCGTGTCCCACCCGCCCCTCCAGGAAAGCTGCTTCCCGACAGGGGGCTGATGCCAAGTGAGAGAGGGACCTCTGAGCTGCTCCGGAAGAGAGGAAAGAGCAAGCCTGGGTCAGTGCTGGCGGAGGCTGTGGCTACAGCCAGCCTGGGTTCTCTGACCAAGCTCCCAGCTCCCGCAGATGGCAGAAGGCTACGCAATGGGCCCGGGCGGTGTGGCAGTACCGCCGTAAGCCTGGGGTCCCTAGACCCAGCAGGGTCCAGCCATAGGCACCCTGGAAGGGCTAGTGGAAAGCTCAGAGGCCCCTCACTTCCTGATCCTGGGACCCAGCCCTGCTGCATTAGGACTGGGCAGAGGCCACAGAAGTGTACGACGTGGCCTCGTTCTCCTGGCTGGGCACAGCTTCCTGTCTAGGGGCACTGGGGCAAAGAGGGACCTTTCTGGAAAAGGTCTAAACCCACTCACATTCGCTGCCCTGGAGGATGCCTACCTCCCCGGCTCCTTCTGCCCTGCCCGAACCCTCCTGACCCCACACTGCCCCCAACTCCAGCACTCCTGAGGCCTCTGACTCAGCCTCATCCCGGCCCCTCCAGCTCTGACTAGGCCGCCCTCTCCCTTTTCTGTCTCCGCAGTTTGCTGCCTCATGAATCCCAGCAGCAGAAAAGGCGAGTCTGTAGAAGAAAAAGATCAAAGTTTTTGCTGGAAGACGCTATTCCCAGTGTTAGTTCCCGGTTTTCTTATTCTCCAGTCCTACGTGCAGGGACGGCACGCATTGGGGGTCCTGCACTGTCCCCGATGCTGTCCCCAGACCCAAGGAGTACTCCAAGACCGCTATGGGGCACATCTACCGCGAGCGAATGCTCCTGCGAACACATGGGCGGGGTGGGGGTAGATAATACCCTGGGCAACACAGGGCTGTGTGGGGGCGGCAGCTCTCTAGACGTCGCCCAGCCTAGAGCCGTCCATTTCAGCATATGTCCCTGCCTCCACTATCCTCTCCTAGCGCTCACAATGCCTCTGCACCCCCCGCTTTACCTGCTGCGATAACTTTCACAACAGCTTTGAGTCTGTGCTCCCCGTGACCTCTGAGTAAGGCAGGCTCTGAGCTTTGCAGTGGAGGCAACGGAGGCCCAGAGAGATAGATGGAAGGCTGGGTGGCTGGAGAGGAGGTCGGGACTGGAAACCAGGGTGACTTGGAGCTCTGGTGACAGCTTAGAGTCAAGAGGAGTGGCAGGTTTTACCCGAGGGGTCAGTTGGCGGTCCTGGTTGAGTAGCAGCCATTGCATATGCCCCTCAGCTGCGGGAAGGGCTGCTTGTCCCCTTGTCCCGTGACTGACCCTGTCTCTGTGATGTCTATAGAGTGACTTTACTTCCGCCTGGAGCACCAACCACCACCTGGCCAGTATATTCGACTTCACCCTGGATGAAATTCAGAGTTTAAAAAGGTACCTTCTACTCTAGAGGTGAAGGGGGGGACACTCCTCTCATCCCGAGGGTGTGGACACTCTCTTCTCGGGCCTTCTGAAACTTCAGTTAAATGGCCCAGTGTGCACTGGGCTGCCTGAGAATCTGTTGCACACAGCTTGCAGCCCCCTGCCCTGCAAAGCCTTGACCACAGTCCCAGCTCCCTACAGCCTCTCCTGCCTCACACCCCACACTGGTAGAGCCATGGCTACCCTCTTACCTGTGACTCCACTGAGGTCTGTGCCCTGCCCTCCCCCATCCGAAAATTCAGGATACAGCTTCCTTCAGGAAGCCCCCACTGGCCTTCCCAGGCTGTATTGGAAGCCTGCTTAGAGCTCATAGCATCCATATTGGGGTAATTCAAGGGCAAGAATTTTATCTTTTACTTTACTCCCCAAATCGCCGAAGACCATGTCATGCTGTTCACTGGTCATGGAGCAGGAAGTGGGGGACTTAGAGTCAGATGGGAACTCTGGTCCATGCTTACCAGTTCTAACTATGCAGCATTAGCTAAATTTCTTTTCTGTTTTTGTTTTTGTTTTCTTTTTTCTTTTTTGGTTTTTCAAGACAGGGTTTCTCTGTATTGCTTTGGAGGCTGTCCCGGAACTTGCTCTGTAGACCAGGCCGGCCTCGAACTCACAGAGATCCGTCTGCCTCTGCCTCCTGAGTGCTGGGATTAAAGGCGTGCGCCACCAACGCCTGGCCAGATTTTTCTTTTTTACTCCCAACTTTGAAGACTAAGTGGGGGGGGAATAAAACAGGCAGGCCTGGGGCAAGCAGCTTGGCAGAGAGAAGACTCCTCTGCTCCAGGGGACCCTGAGGGCCTGGCTGGCCCTGAGGCAGTCCAGCAGCAGGCTTGTCCTCTCTCCCTCTCAGTGCCAGCTCGGGCCAGACCGTCTTCTCGGACGTGGACTCCACTGACGCGGCCAGCACCTCGGGCTCTGCCTCCACCAGCCTCTCCTATGACTCCAGGTGAGCTTCCCGGGCCTGCCCAGAGCTTTGCAGGGACAGCGGTCCCCAGCCCATCCACTCCCCACCGCTGTAGGAAGACACATTCTGCACTTCCAGGTCTTGAGATGGATAGAGAGGTGGGTGAGGGGTGCTGGTGGCCTGTGACTGAGTCTGCTCTGGACCCTCCACCAGCGTGGAGGCTAAGGTGTTGTGGTCCCTTCCACTTGGGACGTCCTTTGCCTGATAGCTGTGTGATGCCTCTAATCAAGAAATCCAATTCTGGGGCTGTTTGACCAGAGTCCTCTTCATTCTGGGCGTCTTGGTCTCTGTGTGCTATGACTGTGTGAGTCTGTGCCTCAGACCACAGGGCTCCTAGTCTCAGTTCCTGGCTGTCTGATTTGTATGCCGGGGACTGGCTGCCCTTCTCTGCTGTTGCCTCTGTAGCTTTAAATTGGATTCTAGGGATCAAACCCAGGCTTCATACATACTGGAGAAGTGCCCTATTACTGAGCTATCTATCACCCCCCTAGTCTTCCTGCTTCTGGGTTTCTCACTAGTGCTTCAGGTCATGGCGGCCATGTCTCAGCATCCGTTACCATGCAGCTTGTCTCTGAGACCTTTTTGCTAATACCCTGCCTGTGTGGTACAGGTCCTTCAGTTCCTTTCCCTGTGTAGCTAATCCAGCTCATACAAAAAACCAGGCAGCCTCAACAAGGCCTTTGCACTCTGGGACTTTAGAAGCATGCACAAACCACCCTTTCAGATACAAAGAACATGTGCTATTTAAGTTGAGCACACCCAGGTTTGACTCCTGGTCTCTGTTCTCTAGCTGGTTTCTTCTCTGGAGCCTCAGTTTCCCTATTAAAGGACTACTGTGAAGTTCCAGCAATTCAATTCATGCCCAGGATCTGGCACGGTACCTAAGAACACCAGTCCCGCCTGGTACCTAAGAGACTCTCGGGGGTGAGGCATCTAATGATTGTTCCAACTCATCCCTTTTCCCCTCCTGATACAGATGGACGGTAGGCAGCCGCAAGAGGAAGCTGGCAGCCAAAGCATACATGCCCCTGCGGGCAAAGCGCCAGGCGGCCGAGCTGGATGGACGCTGCCCCTCAGACAGCAGTGCAGAGGGAGCTCTGGGCCCTGAGCCCCCAGACGAAGGCATTGACAGCCACACGTTGGAAAGCATCAGTGAAGATGACTCCTCCTTGTCCCACCTCAAGTCATCTATCACCAACTACTTTGGTGCAGCTGGACGGTTGGCCTGTGGGGAGAAGTATCAAGTGTTGGCTCGGAGGGTCACGCTAGAGGGCAAAGTTCAGTACCTGTTGGAATGGGAAGGGACTACCCCTTACTGATTACCCCTCAGGAGCTGTCTAGATCCCTGGAAACCAAAGGAGGGGCAGACGAAGCCATTGGCTCCCTGTTTTCTCCCTGCTGGGGTGGTGGAGGGAAGCAGGACAGGGCCGGAAGGGCCTGGCTATCTGCCCTGCCTGCTGCCCGCCAGGCCAAGGCCTGCGTGCTGCTGTACTGATTGATTGCCTGTGTCCAGACCCCGCTGACTTTCTCATTGTCCATACACTCCGTAGCCCTCAAACTGTTTGTTAGTCCCTCTGGTTCCAAGGTACCCTGGATGTGACCCTTCATGACCCTGAGGCCTGAATCTGATTTTTACGATGCCCAGTTCTATGTTTTTAACCCTCCCGGGTGCGCTGTGTCACCACCCGTCCCCCTCATGCACATTCCGTCTGTTCCGCACTGGACAGCCTTCACTGGGGCCACAGCGTGAGAGAGGAACCCCACACTGAGGGTCTTCTACTTTCTCACCGACACCCCCAATGCCGGGAAGGTAGGGGTGTCTGACCCTGGGGAGTGATGAGCTGGGTCTCTGCTGAAGGAACCAGCATCAGGGTCCTTTACTGATGCTCACAGGAAAGACCACAGGGTCCCAGAGGTTTGTCTCCAGCAATAACCCTTCACTGTTGTCAAGGAGTGGAGCCTGGCCTTGTTCTTAAACACTTAGACCTCAAAGGAAATGATGGGGAGCGAAGCCAGGTCAGACTAAATTCCAGACCCATCATAGTCTAACACCATACCACTGTGTGGACGGACACACACACACACACACACACACACACACACACACACACACACACACCAGTCACATTCCCTCTGGGTACCCTGGTTCCTGTCCTTGGCCTCTTCCAGGGATACATGCTGCAATTAAATGTGAAAAACAAACTCTTGCCCTCTGGCTATAAACCAGCCTTGACCCCCACAGAGAAGCACAAAAGACACCCCTCTCCTGGAGAGCACCCGCCTCACTCTGTAACTGACAATCACTTTGGGGACAGGCTGGGGTTTTTCAAGGACCTGACTCATTCCCTCCCTTCAGAAAGGAAGTCTTTGTCCTTGATGGTAGTAAATAGAACCCTTAAAATGGACAAACAGCCCCATCTGGAGAGAAACCAAAGTTAGGAGGTAGGCAAGGAGCCCTTAAGTGGCCTGCAGAAGTATTAGAAACTGACTGACTTGTTGGAAAGCAGAAAGAAGTGCCTTTGGGGTGGGAGGCAGGGGCAGCAGACTGGGACCAGTCCCCTGACTGCTGCTGTGACTTTAGCAGGGTTTTGCAGGCTGCCAGTCAGAAGGAGGAGATGGGCAGCATGGGAGCATCAGACCTATATTAGAGGGGCAGATATTTCCATGACGAGGCCTGACCCCTCCACATCTGTCTGAGAGCACTCAGGGGGTCCCAGGAGTAGGTTAGATGGCCCTTGCCTTAAACCAACTGTAGTGCCTTACAAAGGGGTAGCGCCTCTCACTCTGGACACAGCCGCCCATTTCCTCCTGCTTCCCTGTCTTGTCTCAGGCAAGGATGAGCAGATGGCACTGGTCCCCATTCTCAGTCTCCCAGCTGCTGCCACTGAGATACCCAGGTGGGGCCAGGTGAAGGAGAGTTGGGAAGCCAACTCCCAGGCCAGCAGGAGTGTGGGAACTGGGGTCAATTTGTGGCTTCCTGTTGGCCTCAGCGAGCATGCCAACCTCCAACATCTGCTTTCCAGGCTGCTCAGAGAACCAGAGAGCAAGGCTGGCTGTCTGCCTTCCCCTGCTGGGTCTGAGGGGCAGGAGAGGAGGTGCTTGTTCCATTGGGAAACTGGGCACAAGGCCTGAGCAGGTCACCTGACCCCTCATACCAGCATTTCACTCCCACAGATAATGGCTGCATTACTGGCAACTGACAGTATAACCCTGTGCACCTTTGAAAAGATTTTGGTTTTGAATTGCTGCTTTTAATATTTGTTATATTAAAATTATAATTGTTGTCTGGTTTACAGTGTAAGCGTGTCCTTGGAAAAGCCTTCACATTCCACTCTTGGCTTCCTGGAGTTTTGCTGGGGACATCAAGGCCATCCCTCTAGCCATCCAGCAACCTCTGTTCTCTCAGCAGGGTTCCCCTTTGGTAATGTGGAATTTGTTTTCCTCCCCCTGCCGAGTAACAGCAAACACTGACCCTTAGGATTTAGGAAAAAAACAGACATAGCGGTGCACATCTTTAGTCCCAGCACTCAGGAGGCAGAGACAGGTAGATCTCTGAGTTCAAGGCCAGCCTGGTCTACAAAGCTAGCTCCAGGACAGCTAGGGCTGTTGCACAGAGACACTCTTGTCTTGAAAAACCAAAAACAAACAAACAAGGATTTCGAATTCTCAGAACTTCCCCAAACCACGTTAGTCTTAAAATACTTTGCTCTTCATATTCCTTCCCTCATATTTCCCTGAAAAATTGTTGAGTAGAGAGGCATATCAAACCCTTTTATTAGTGCTGTTAACAGAGGACTATAGGCTGAGGTTACCAGAGAACATCATTTGTATAGATAGCTTCTAACGCCTCAGCATTTGGGTGTATAACTGAATAGCACAAAAGATAGCCAGCCATGTGTCTGAGTTACCGCCTTAAGTGTTCCTTTTGCTTCCAAAGTTTATTTCTTGGAACATCACCCTCAGAGTTTGCATATAAAATTATTTCCAAGGAAAACCTACTGATAGCACCGGCACCCACAGAAACCCCAGAGCAAGGCCCATAGATTAGATGTTGGTGGCCACTCCCTTGTGTGTCCTGGCTAGGCTCATTCTTCAGCTCAGCACTTTGATGTTACCTGCTTTTGTGCTTTACTTGATGAAGGTGATTTGCTTTTATTGTTTGAGATAGGATCTCCCTATGTAGCTCAGGCTGGCCTTGAACTCAGGGTTGTTCTGCCTTAGCCCCGCAAGGGCTGGGATTGTTGGGTCCACCACCATGTCGAGATGAAGGGCCTCTTTTAATGCAGGGTGTGTCCTCGTAAGATTTAGCTGTTTTGGATAGATAGTTTTTTTCCTCATTTCCACAGTTGCCTTTTTTTAGAGATTCTGGGAATCATAAGAACTGCTGGAAGGGAGTTCCCACATGGAGACACTAGCCGGGGACCCAGCCTGCCTTTAACAGCCTCATCTTAGGAGGACACTGTAGGATAGTGGCCGGTCATTAAGCTCTACTCTCTCTCCACCCATGGATGGGTCACACCCTCCAGATCTATGGTAAGGAAGAAACAAAGTAATAGATGGACAAGTGTCAGGCTGACAGACCTTAGAGACTAGTAACTTTGCCTGCGGCTATTGCAGAGTCTCTGGATCTGTGGCCTTCCTGGGGACTGACTCGCCTGAATAAAAAGTAGCAGGAGTGTTAGGGTTAGAATCAGATTCTGGTCCACAGCCTCTTTCCTCTTAAGTGGCTTACGCCTTCTGACCTCAGGTTTCATCAGCAAAAATGCTAACAAATAAGCCTAACTTACAAGGATAAGACAGAGAGCTTCCTAAACAGTTCAGCAAGTGTCCCCTCTCTCCTTTTCCCGAACACTGTGGCAGACAGGTCACCAAAAAAGGCTTTTTTGATGGCACCTAAAATGAACCAATGAAGGCCACAGTATAAAAACCTTTTAAGTTTAAGAAATTTCAAGAGAAGCCGGGCTGTGGTGGCGCACGCCTTTAATCCCAGCACTCGGGAGTTCGAGGCCAGTCTGGTCTACAGAGGGAGTTCCAGGACAGCCTCCAAAACTACAGAGAAACCTTGTCTCGAAAAACCAAAAAATAAAAAAATAAAAAGAATTCAAGAGAAAAATACATACTTTGCCTATTTCAAAACTTAAAAGTAAATTTCATGTTGTAGAGAAACTTTTGTTTTTTTTTTAAACACTTAAAACTGAAATGTCTACTTGGGAAATAATTCCCAAACCTTGTGCAAGAGACCAACAAGATTTAGACAGGCCTCTGACCTCCAGCACCTGGTGATCGAGCCTGTAAGTGAGACTTCAAAGGAGTAACACCGGGTAGAGGGGACAACATGACCACAGAGACCATGCACAGTGAGGCCACCCATCTGCCACGGGGTGACGAGACTGTGAAGGAAACAGGTTCTAAAAGGAGGACACAGAAACTGAACTTTATCCTAAAAGCAGCACTGATGGTACATGCGGGGGCCTGGGTACATCGTAAGCTGGGTTTTCAAGATCTGAATATACCTCAGAAACTGGGGTTTAAGACCAAGGACATCTCAGTTCCTCAACCCTCAAAACTGCCAGTGGACTTCTTTGGCCCTTTGGAAGGGCCTCTGTCCTGATCAGGCTCTCACAGACGGCCCTCGGAGACCCTTCGCCACGTGGTATTTGGGGCACAACATGGGAGGCGCACAGCAGCTATCAGAACTAGAACACATATGTATGTAACAACCCCGCCCCATAGAAGAGACCAGGACACCACAGATGTCTGTATCCCGACTCTACCTTCCTGTGCCACACCGCCACGGAGTTACCTTTTGAGATTCATGAAAAAGGCCTGGTTCAACTCTTCCTTTCCAGAGCCTTGGGCTCAGCATCCCCTAGGCTCCCTGTCCTCGTCACCAGAGATCCTGGGACAGGTGTAGAAGAACCCTCAACATGGGATGAGAAACCATGGCTAGGCTGTATAATTTAGCACGCCTACTTGCATGCAATTCTATGAAGTGCAGTTTTTCTTCATGATGCATAATATCGGGAAAATCACAGCAGCGATTTACAAACTCCTGGCAGCTTCACTTGGGATGTGGATGGGGGCTGCATTCCCCAAGAAGTTCAGGGGTTCCTCTGTCAGCCCTAGAAGCTCTGTACAGCAAGTGTGAAGAACCCTGGTCCAGCAGGTTCATTCCCAGGGCTGAGAGCCCATGTCTCCAGAGTCTTTGCATGTCTGTTATATTAAGTCTAATAAAGAGTCAAGACTTACTCTCAGCTCACGAGGCTGTGTTGAAACCCTAATATTCCCCTAGTCTGTATAGGCTCAAGAAGTCCCTTCCCAGCCTCACCTCTGCAAGTTCAGGAGCAACAAAAGCCAGTGTAACAAGAATAGAATTCTGCTGACCTCCCCTGGAACCGTACCACTACAATACATGATTTTGAACAGCGCACGTGTCAGTTTCTTTAGAAGATGTTTATCCCACACACACCCAGGTGAGCAAGGCCCTTTGTCCCCATGAGACGCCTAGGAGCAGTTACACCCAAGCACTAACAGTAGGCCCAGTGCCCTCTCGGCCGCCTCCCCTCTGTCCCTGCATCCTCACCCCCTGGCCACCTGCAAACACACAGGACTCAGAGACAGGCTCCAATTGGTGCTTGCTGGTCGGGCTGGCCTTCACTTCTGGTCTTGAAATGCTCAGCCCTTCAATCAGCATGCACAGGTCACCCCTGTGCTGTCAGGAACCCCCTAGGGAGGCACAAGGAGGCCCTGCTTTTCCCAGAGCGCAGTCAGGAAAGGCTTACAGTCAAGTCAGCAGCCTGCAGTTTCTCTGCTTAGTCTTCCTTCATGCCCTCCTCAAGCCACTTTAAATAGCGAGCATCTCCGTGGTCCATGGAAATACTGAAGACTTCTGGGATTTCAAAAGGATGAGCCAACCTTTTGGAAAGAAAGCAGAGCTCTAATGAGTGACTGTCACAAGATAAACCTACACGACAAAACCCAGGCCGCAGGCCCTCTGGAGGCCCCGTAAGCTGCAGCAGCTCACTCTGCCTTGGGCCAGCCTGCCTGAGCCTGTTCCCCACTCAACAGGTGCTGGTTTGGATCAGTGTCTTTGGAGCAGAGGTTCTCAACCCTCCTAACACTGCAGCCCTTTAGTACAGCTCCTCATGTTGTGGGGACCCCCCCAACCGTAAAATCATTTCCTTGCTACTTCATAACTGTAATTTTGCTACTGTTAGGAATCTCAACCCACAGGTTAAGAACTGCTGCTTTAGTCTCAGAGGTATGGGTTGAAATCCTGTGTCTGCCCTTATTTGGTTCTTAGACTGTGGACAAGTCACTAATTTCTCTGGATGTCCCTACAGAAGAGGATTGCTAAGGACTAGCTAGCACCCTCGGCTGAAGGCCAGCATGGCACACACTCATGCTCCTACCCTTTCCACCTACACACACACACACACACACACACACACACACACACACACACACACACACGCCGCTGTGTCTTCCTGCCCCTTCCCCAAAGTCCATACAGTCCTTCCTGCGACAAAGTCCTCACTGCTACTGCTCATCAACCAAAATCCTCTTGACGCTCAAGGGCAAACAGTCCCTGACCTTCCCCACGGAGCCCTTTTTGCAAGCCTGGCTCAGTCACCTGCCTCTTTGCTTAGTTCACCTGGCACTCAGTGCACAAAGCCCGGTGTCTTCATGCCAGTCTCTCATGTGCCAATGTGCACAAAAATTCTTTGCTTACTTACTGATCAACATGGAGCCATTGGGAAATTCTCATGAGGTAACAGTTAACTAATCGTAGTAAAAATAAGCACTGTAGCATGTACAGCAAGTAGGGTTGGTTTATTCAGAACGTGAAGATTATCAGTTTGATGAGTTCATTTCATGGACACTGAGGCCAGAATCTTTTATAAACAGACATATTGAATTCAAAGAATCATATATGTTAGCAATAAGATGAACTGTTGAAACACTCTATAGGTATATTTCATGTATTCTAATATGTGTAAGAACCTGGTAGATTGATACTCATTTTATAGATAGACAGATGAGGCAAAAAGCATACTAACATTTTTTAAGCACTATGGTACAACTATTGAGTAGGAAGCCAGACTTCAACATAAGAAGCAGTATAACTCTGGGGCTCTCTCCTACCCCAGAAGCTGTCCCTCGCAGGTTTAGGTTTTTTCCTTTTTTTATTTAAGTTAGAAACAAGCTTGTTTCACATGTCAATCACAGCTCCCTCTCCCTCCCCTCCTCCCTCCCTCCCCACCAGATGCCCCAAGGCCACCACCCAATCTCCACTCTGATTTCCAGGGAGGGAGAGGCCCTCCATGGTGGAACTCCAAAGTCTGTCATGTCATCCAGGGCAGGGCCTAGGCCCTCCTTCAAGAGTCCAAGCTGAGAGAGCCTCTCTCATTGTGGCATGGGCTCTCACAGTCTATTTGTACGCCAGGGATAAATACTGATCCACTACCCAAGGCCCCATAGATTACCTAGGCCTCCTCACTGACACCCACATTCAGGGGGTCTGGGTCAGTCCCATGCTTTTCACACAGCCATCAATCTGGGGTTCAAGAGCTCCCCTTTGTTCAGGTCAACTGTTTCTGTGGGTTAAACCAGCCCACTCTTAACTCCTTTGCCCATCAGTTCTCTCTTTCTGACACTGGATTCCAGGAGTTTAGTTCAGTGTTTGTCTGTGGGTATCTGCCTCTGCTTTCATCAGTTGCTGGATGAAGGTTCTGTTTCCCAGATCCTCTGGCAGTGGGATTGTATGTCTAAAACCCATAAATGAGTGAGTACATACCATGTTTCTCTTTTTGTGACTGGGTTACCTCACTCAGGATGGTTTCTTCTAGTGCCATCCATTTGCCTGCAAATTTCAAGATTCCATTGTTTTCCCCCCCCACTGAATAGTAAGTACTCCATTGTGTAAATGTATCATATTTTCTCTATCCATTCTTCAGTTGAGGGGCGTCTAGGTTGCTTCCAGGTTCTGGCTATTACAAATAATGCTGCTATGAACATAGTGGAACAGACATCCTTGTTGTATGGATGTGTATCTTTTCAGTATATGCCTAAGAGTGGAATTGCTGTGTCTTGTGGTAGCCTGATTCCCATTTTCCTGAGGAATCTCCATACTGACTTCCAAAGTGGCTGTACAAGTCTGCACTCCCACCAGCAGTAAAGGAGTGTTCCCCTCTTTCCACATCCTCTCCAGCATAAACTGTTGTTGGAGTTTTTGATTTTAGCCATTCTGACAGGAGTAAGATGATATCTCAGAGTTGTTGATTTGCATTTCACAGATGGCTAGGGATGTTGAGCACTTTCTTTTTTTTTCATATTTTTTATTTAACTTTTTACGAATGTCACTTTCAGTTCCCTCTCCCTCCCCTCCTCCCCTACCCCCTAATCCTCTCAACCCCTCATCCCCACTCCATTCCCCCTCCACTCCCCAGGGAGGGCAAGGGCCTCCATGAGGGATTTCCAGAGTCTGTCACATCATCCCGGGAATGGCCCAGGTTCTTTCCCGTGTGTCCAGACTGAGAGAGCATCCCTCCACGTGGCATGGACTCCCAGAGTCCCTCTGTATGCCAGGAATAAATACTGATCAACTCTCCCAGGTCCCACAGATTGCCAAGGCCTCCTCTCTGTCACACAGGTTCAGTGGGAGGATGTCTGGATCAGTCCCATGCTGGCCCCCCAATCATCAGTCTGGGGTCCATGCATTCCCCCCTTGTTTAGGTCAGCTGCCCCTGTGGGCCTTGCCAGCCTGATCTGGATTCCCTTGGTCATCACTCCTCTTTGCAACTGGGTTTCAGAAGTTCAATTCGGTTCACAGCTGTGGGTGTCTGCCTCTGTCTCCATCAGCCACTGGATGAGGGTTCTAGGATGGCATATAAGGTAGTCATCATTCTCACCATCATGGGAGGGCATTTAAGGTAGCCTTAATGCCAGTTGGTGTCATTCCTGTAGATCTGTGAAGATCTCACTAGTGCCAGATCTCTCCTCCAACTTATACTGGCTCCCTCTTTTATGGTATCTCTCATCCGTTTCTCCTCTATTCTTATCCTGGCTCAACCTTCCTGCTCTCCCATGTCCCCCTCTCTCCTCCTCTTCTCTCCCTCTCTTTCTCCCATCTCCTTCTGCCCTCACCTTCTCCCCCTCCCCAATCTAATTAGGAGATCAAATCCCATAACCCTTCTCCGGGTTACCATGCATATCTCTCTTAGGGTCCTCCCTGCACCCCAGACTCTCTGGTGGTGGGGTTGTAGGCTGGCAATGCCCTGCTCCATGTCTAAAATCCATATATGAGTGAGTACATACCATGTTTGTCTTTTTGTGACTGGGTTACCTCACTCAGGATGGTTTCTTCTAGTGTCATCTATTTGCCTGCAAATTTCAAGATTTCTTTTTTTTCTACTGAATAGTATTTCATTGTGTAAATGTACCACATTTTCTCTGTCCACTCTTCAGTTGAGGGGCATCTAGGTTCTTTCCAGGTTCTGTCTATTACAAACAATGCTGCTATGAACATAGTTGAGCAGATGTCCTTATTGTATGAGTGTACATCTTTTGGGTATATGCCTAAGAGTGGAATTGCTGGATCTTGCGGTAGACTGATTTCAAATTTTCTGAGGAATCTCCAAACTGATCTCCAAAGTGGCTGCACAAGTTTGCATTCCCACCAGCAGTGGAGGAGTGTACCCCTTTCTCCACATCCTCTCCAGCATAAACTGTCATTAGAGTTTTTGATTTTAGCCATTCTGACAGGAGTGAGATGGTATCTCAGTTGTTTTGATTTGCATTTCCCTAATGGCTAAAGATGTTGAGCACTTTCTCAAGTGTCTCTTGGCCATTTTGGACTCCTCTATTAAGAATTCTCTATTTAGTTCTGTACCCCATTTTTTAATTGGATCCTTTGGTGTTCTGGAGACTTGCTTCTTGAGTTCTTTGTAAATTTTGGAGATCATCCCTCTGTCAGATGTGGGGTTGGTGAATATCTTTTCCCATTCTGTGAGCTGTCGTTTTGTCTTGTTTACTGTGTCCTTTGCCCTGCAGAAGCTCCTCAGTTTCAGGAGGTCCCATTTATTAATTGTCGATCCCAGTGTCTGTGCTACTGGTGTTATGTTCAGGAAGCAGTCTCCTGTACCAATTCGTTCAAGGGTACTTCCCACTTTCTCCTCTAAGAGATTCAATGTGGCTGGATTTATGTTGAGGTCTTTGATCCATTTGGACTTAAGTTTTGGGCATGGTGATAGATATGGATCTATCTGTTGTCTTTTACATGCCAGCATCCAGTTACTCTAGTACCTTTTGTTTAAGATGCTTTCTTTTTTCCATTGTATAGTTTTAGCTTCTTTATCAAAGATCAGGTGTTCAAAGGTGTGTGGGTTGATATCAGGGTCTTCGATTCGATTCCATTGGTCTACCTGTCTGTTTTGTGCCAATACCAAGCTGTTTTCAGAACTATAGCTCTATAATAGAGCTTGAAGTCAGGGATGGTGATGGCTCCGGAAGTTCCTTTATTGTACAGGGTTGCCTTGGCTATCCTGGGTCTTTTGTTTTTCCATATAAAGTTGAGGATTATCCTTTCGAGGTTGGTGAAAAGTTGTGTTGGTATTTTGAGAGGGATTGCATTGAATCTGTAGATTGCTTTTGGTAAAACTGCCATTTTTACTACGTTGATCCTACCTATCCAAGAGCATGGGAGATCTTTCCATTTTCTGGTGTCTTCTTTAATTTCTTTCTTTAAAGACTCAAAGTTCTTGTTATACAGGTCTTTCACCTGTTTGGTTAGAGTTACCCCAAGATATTTTATGGTGTTTGTGGCTACTGTAAAGGGTGATGTTTCTCTGAATTCTTTCTCATCCCCTTTATTGTCTATATATAGTAGGGCTACTGATTTTTTTGAGTTAATCTTG